GGGGGGGGGGGGGGGGGGGGGGGGATCTTTGTTTTATCGACCAATCGACAAACTGACAACAGCACGCATTATTACGGCGAAACTTCCTAATTTCACGAACACCTCGCGCGATGGCTTGAAAGAGAGCTCACTCTATTTTTGTATGATTAACACTACACTGTGCTTCTTTCCACACTGTATTAACGTTACGACTGATTCGAAGGTGTCGCGTTGCGTCGCGACGCCGACGTGGTGTCCAGCGGGTGTGAGGGGAGGGAAAAATATTCGCGAAGGATCTCGCGCGAAATCTCGGGGTTGCGAGCTTCTCCGGTCGGGGTATCGACGTGCAACGGCGTCGTCGCTGTATTCTTCGAACATCCTCGCGATGTACCGTTCAAATTATCCGAAGCGATGTTATACTCAAAGTCAATTACTCAATTAACTATGTAAATTGATTATCCGAGTGTATATGCGTACCTTTCTCTCGTATAATTTTCGATATGCGCCCTATTTACCCGCTGTAGATGTATAAACAAAGATGTATACCCATGGAATTGATCCAGAACCATGCCGGCGGAAGCGTGATCGCTGTGTGTCGCCCATTATATCAAAGTTTCACACAGAGGGACCTGTAGATATCTCGTCGCGACGCGCATGAGGGAGGGAGAGAGCCGCGTTATCTTAAACGGACTCCGTCTTAATTTTTCAGGAGGTCCGCAAAATTCAGAGACGCAGTAGAAAAAGTCCCAGCATTCTGGGACTCGGCGATCTGTGAAAGGTGACGTATCATAATTCCGTAGAGAAATGACCTGGCAGCGGCCTGAATGACCAGACGACTCGAGAGACGCCGGTGTCTGTGACTCGAGAATCAAAATATCCTGGATATCGGATGATCTGTCGAGCGCGAATATCGGGATCAATGCTTCCGCCGGCACGAAGCAGACGTGGCAACATTTAAAGGACCAGGAATGTTCCCCGGAACAATTTAACCGATTATTTACAAAAGAGGATAGCAAGTTGAAATCGACGCCCGATAATTTAGCTCCTCCGGACAAGAAGTAGACGAATTCGCAACGACGGCCGAGACGTTATCCTGGTCTACTTAATTGTAACGGCCACTTAATTGCAGCAATTAACCAGTGACATAAAAGATTTTGCTTAATCGCTCTCTCTCGTCTCACTTATCGCGACTTGCTCTTTAAACGTAATCACCCCGCATTAATCTCCATATTAATCTCTCCGTTAGCTGTTGTTGCTCTAGAAAACTTTCGATGTGTCTCTCTCTCTACGTAGTTAGCGTTTAAAAATGTGGAAATCCATGCTGGGAAGACGCGGGAGAATTCTTTTTCTGCCTCTCTTTCTTTCTCTATGTTAGTCCATTATCGATTTCATTTTTTTCTCTTTCTTATTTATGAATCTTTCAATGCGCGCGCGTTTTAAGCACGCGGCAGATCGCGAAGCGATCTCTCTTTATTTTCCGCGGGAGAACATCTCTTCTCAATTGAGTCGACGAGTATGAAATTCGAATCAGCGCCTCGGAGCACTCGACATTCATTGAAAATTGATTCGTCTTCGAGTCTAGGTTAAACACTCCTCGCATGCTGATTCCCACATTTTTTCAGACACTGTGTGTGAAATGCATGCGCTCTTCGTCGTAATAATGTCTCGTTGTTGCTATCTGTAGGACGCCGGGGGTGAAGTTGGGCGAAATGCATCGTCACGTCGCGCACGTGTCCCGACGCGAATGCACCGCGAGAGTGCATAATATTTCTCTTAATATTCCTCTCCTCAAATCGGTTTTTGTTTCGCAACAGCAATTGCGCTGAGGTGTCGAAACTCGGGAAAACAATGCCGCGTCGGGCGCCTCCAACCTCGCAGCTACACATTGCGACGATATTATAAGCGCGATTTAACGCAACCGACAAGATTACACGGTCACGACTATTAAACGAGCAAAAACACAATTTTCATTATATCTCGAGCTAGCTCGGCGCGTCTCGTGAAACTGGCCGATGCATTCGTCGGTTTCCCCTCACTCTCACCCCCCTTCAAGCAACACCGAACCAGAGTTGTTCTCATCCCCGAGACATATCGCTTCGACTCTTCCAGAGGGACGAGACGAAATTACAGAATTAATTAGTAAATTCGCGGGAACAAACGCATCCGCGCACATTTACCGACGAAGGCGACGTACATACAGAAGTCGTCGAATGCGTACGAGGAGCGGAGATCTCGAGGGCAAGAACAACTCTCACTTCGGTCGAATCTCGCTGTTCAAACAGGGAGATCCGTGAGCTTTTTCTCGATTTCGCTAGAAGCGAGAGACGCGTGCATGTATGTGTGTGTAGTAGCATTTTTCTCTTCTCGTCGGGATATTTAGCTCTCTCTCTGTAACTTCTTTGTAGCCACTTACGATGTGTAAAATTACCGTGTGATGCGCGCGCGCGTCGCACCCTACTTCTATTCTATACTTAATCTATACCGTAGCGAGGTGAAAATAATGGAGCAGAAGATAATACGGCGCGAAGAGTAGAAGAGCATTGATGCTCGATGTGTGTTACCGCTGCTGATGTTACTGCTGATTAATGTCGTGTGTGTCGTTGTTGTTTCTTAATAATCAACATTAACCCTAAACAATATAAGACTGCTACCTCCCGATTTCGACACGGAGCCTCGCATATGTAGCTCATTGCCACGGCTATCTTCGATATGTACTATAAATTACAAATTGGATCTCACT